AAAAAAAACAATACCTGTCACCTAAACCAAATGGCCTGGGGTCCAAAAGACCCTAAAAGTCCTGAATAGGGTTAAGAAAACAAATTGACTTGTTATGCATAAGACTACCTTTTTTTTCTTTTTATTTACAAATTCATCATTGTTCTTACTGGGACTGCAACATAAATGCCAAATACAGAAATGATCCTTGATTTTTTTTATTTTTTTTTTAATGGTTCGTATATTACCAATTAATGTGGAACTGATGGGCCAAGGACAAACGTTTGAGCTTTTCTATAACTTTATTATCATTGACATTTAAATTCATGACATATAAATAATGTCAGGTCACCAGTCACCAGGGATGCTAAGATGGTAATAAAACAGTTTACTGCTGCTTCTCTATCATGAATGATTAGATGACAGTTAACATAATTTACCACTAAACTAACAGGGGGAGCTTCTGACTCCACTGACACTTGTATTACAGAAAAGTATTTTTTTTGTTCAAACTAATGTATGGTCCTCCACATGACTCTCGTGTTAGCGGTACAAAAAACAAGTATTTATTTGTGTATGCTTATAAATGAAGTCGTTAACTCAGTAGGAGGCATCTTCTCCCTGTTTACCCCGTAACTCATCGTTTTAAATTGAGTTTGGGCAGGCGACATGTCGCTGCAGAAGACAACCTCATGTCCTGTTTACAGAGATCGTCCGGAGAAATCGATCCTATCTGCCTTCATCACTCAATAATGAGCTTGTTAATCGTTTGGACGGAAACACGGAGGTTAATGTGCAGCAGTGGCTGTGTGAGAGGATGGATCAGCTCCTAAACGAGTTACCACGGGACCACGTGAACCCAGCGTTCAATGTATGGAGAGCTGCTTTTTTTTTTCTAACCGTGAACCCTGAACAGCAGCCTTCATGAGATAGACGTCAAGCTGTACTGTTAGAAACGTGTGTTTCCGGTTTAACTTGAAAATAAAACTCCAGAGAAACCCAGAGAGAGAGAGAACTCTGATTTATTAGTTTTGTTAAACTACCAGTTTAAAATGTATAAAAATCCTTTTTCAAATTTCCCGAGCAAACACATTTTCTTTTTAGCACCTTATCGCACAGACAGGTTGTATTCAGAGGGCTTTACAGGCAAAGGTTAAAAAAAAAAAAACATTTGAAAAAATAAAGTGCAAAACACAGCAGAACTAATTAGATAAACCAGGTAAATAACAATATTCACAATAATAATAATAATGTGTGATTCATTTGCCAAAAATGAGACAAAACACACAGTAAACAAAGTTAAAGATGAGTGTGACTGATGGCATCATTATTTGTGTTTTAAATTCACTATTAGTATTGCTATAAAACATGATCTTGAATTCTTTTGGACATAATCAATGTGTAGTAAAAATCTAACCTCATAACAGCCCTGCAGCCTGCACTGTTGCAGTCAACTCCAACAAACTTCCATTTATATCTCCATTGTATAATGTTCCTACAGTGATTACAGTTTTCTACAGGGAAAATTAAAGGCTTTATGAAAAAAATATCCCCTGGTCTTCAACAAAAAAACTCATATTGGTTTGTCCAAAGCTGCACAATAGTGGGTGTGTCATCATGGCTAAAGCACAGGTTACATAAATGTTCTGTTCAGTAGGCCCTAGTTGACTATACATTATGAAGAATCAGCTGAGTGGCCTTTTATTGATTGGAGCTCTTAGACAAATGACTTTACTAACGTGACATGTCAAGGTCTGAAAAAACCTGAAGAGGTTTTGCTGCTTGATGAAATGCATTCACATTCACAGGAGGACAAGTTCTATTATGTAGTTAATCATCAAAAACTCTGACCACCAGAGGGCGACTTTACCTCTTCCCCCTTCATATTGATTATTAAAGTATGAGAGAAGCTCATTTTACCCGTGTTGTGTCACTGCAACACTACCTTTTCATATAGAAAGGTACAGACAAAGTGAAGGATTCAGAGGCTTTACTGTGATATGCAGCAATAACAAGTTATCAATGCAGTGAAATTCTT